ATGTAATTTTTAATAATCATTGTTATCATACATACATAATTGCAGTATTGTTTGTCTCTTACCTTTTCAAATCAATGTTTTCATTTTTTTATAGTATTGACAAATTGAAGTGATGTACTATCAATATACCATATAATATATAAAGTCTCGAAAAATAATTTTATCAAAAATTAATATAGTTTAGTGTAGTAAATACGATTATAGAGCTTTTGAACAATAAATTCAGGACTTTTTCACAGACTTATTTGCGGATCATCAATTAAACATTATAATAAAAATCCAACCAATTGAAACGTTATTTTTAAACATTTAGGTGAACTTACATATTAATATTCAATGATTGATTTGTGGTAATAAAAAAAATCAATATCAACGTTAACATCAACTAAATTGGTAATAAATTAAATAATACTTGCTATATGAAAAATTTTTTTTCGAAATGGGCAATAACAATTTTTATTTTTATTCATGTATGATTTTTAGGCCAATTTTTATCTAATATCTTGATGACAATTTTTAACTATATAATCAAATGTGATTGACAAGAACGTCCACTATGCTATTTGTAATAAATGTTCGCGTATTCCATTCAAATTAAACTGTTAACGACCTGTTAAAGAATGAAAGTGTAATTCGATTGTTTGTCATTATGTCATATCTGTAAAGTAATTATGAAATATAACAATCGATCGCGTAAAATAATAATAATCGCCGATCCTCTTTTTAATTTAAATCAATATATATAATTAATTCAATTTCGAAATAGATCTTGGAATATCTAAAAATTTGGGAAATGACACAACAAAAAAATAATTCTGATACAAGCCAAAGGCATCCAACAAAAGAATATGATATTAAGCCTGTAAGAACAATAATGTTGATTGGTAGGACCGGTAGTGGAAAGTCTGCTTTGGCCAACGTGATAACTGGTACAAATGAATATGACGAAGATCCAAGTTGTACTAGTGGAACTAGAAACTATCGAATTCAAGATCATTTAATTGATGGTAAATTGTATAGGATTGTTGATACTGTGGGGATTGGGGATACAAAATTGTCAGAACGAGATGTTTTATACAATTTAGCAGAGGCAGCTGATTCGATTAAACACGGATTGCATCAAATTCTATTTGTTATAAATGGGCGTTTTACAGAAGCAGAAACCAAGGCTTATGATTTATTGAGAGCAGTTATTTTCGATAAAGAGGTTATTGAGTTTACTACAATTGTAAGGACATATTTTCCTGAATTTGAAGATTTGGAAACGTGTGAAACTGATCGTGAAAAAATGATTGAAGAGAATGGAAAACTTTCAGAAATAATCCAAAGATGTAAAAAGGTAATTTATGTGAATAATCCACCATTGGCTGGTCGTCCTAAAGAAATTGAATTAAACAAGGAAATTCGAGAAGATTCGCGAAACAAAATATTAACACATCTAAGTATTTGCAAAGACATGTATACACCAAGTCATTTAAGAAATACGAAAGAAAATGTTGGTAATTATATGACTGAAAATGAAAGATTACAAAAAGAAGTTATAGATCTCCAAGAACAGTTGAAAAATCCTCCAAATCCTCTCATTTTTTATTTTCAAAAAATTAAAAAGATGTTTGGATATGATTCACAAAATATTTACTTGTATAAATAATTAAACGTACAAATAAATAAAAATCTGTTTATAATTTTAATTTCTCGCCGGGGAATATATGTTGTTTTCAATTAAATACCAAACAAGTCAAACATTTCATTGGTTAAAGTCACTTTCACATGATTTTATCACTTCTGAAAAATGACAAGTACCATTAATGAAGTTAAATAAAACAAACAACAATATGATGACAACAAGTTATTAACAATATTGCCGATCGGAAGAAGTCAACAACGTATTAGTATCGGTTAATCGGCTATTGATAGCCGATAAATTTTTTCTGATATAAAAAATTTTTTCTGAGGGCATCACTTTCTAATACGAAAATGATCTTTGAGATTCATCCGATTAATCTATAAATAAAAATCCAGTTGTTGTCCTTGTGGTTTTGTAAAACCTTTAAAATTTGGTCGATTGACTGTTTTTAACTTTGCTGATCGTTAAATTGACCAATAAGAACGATCAAAACTTTAATTTAAGAGATAATTTTTTTAACATTCCATTAGTGAAACCAGGAGTCACAAATTGAGGAGCGTTTAATTGATGGAGAATGATATAGATAGATTCATTGATGTTGGAAACATGTGAATAGGCAGATAGAGGTACAAGGTGAACAAATGAGAAATGAAAAATCAAATAGACGGATTGATAAACATCATATTAATATATTAATTTAATAATTTACGTATTAAATTTAATAAATAACATTAATATTTGAAATAAAAAAAAATTGCATTGATAATTCCGAGGTTCTTGCGCTAGAATTAAAAGTTTTGCTTATATTAATATTCGGTAATAATTAAATATTATATTTCATAAAAAAGTTAAATATTTTCTCAGAATAATTTTTTTCTTTCAAATTTCAAATTTTAAATTTAAAATCAGAAGTCTAACATATATTTTTTAATATAGCATCATTGTAAAAATATAAATAAATAATATAAATAATTATAAATACCTTATTAATAATACGAAAAAAACCCCCTTTTATTGCGAAAATAAATTAATAATTCTTCACAAAGATTTTTTTATCCAAATGCTTAGATTAGTAATCAATTCATTTATTTCATCCAATGGTTCATAAATTCCCATATCAAGAAATAATTCTACGTTCATAAAAATTTTATCAACAGCTTGATCTATTCCTTCCTCGTCATATTTACATCCTATAAAGAAAGGAAAATCCGGAGAAAATTTGTAAAAAAATATGTAAATTTAAATAACAAATAATAATAACAGCAATGATGCGAAATATAGTAACCTTCTAATGACTCTTTGAAAATGTCAAGCAAATAATAATATTTTTCCATAGTGGATGTGAAGATAACATCTTTTATTAATCCATTTTTAGATTTAATGAATACTTTCTAAATGGTCATTATTAATATTATCTCATTAATATTACTTGGAAAAAAATACAAAATTTTTTTTAATTTGTCTGTTTATATTAATAAACAATATTACCACATGGCCCCATTTAAATTCTGTTTCGAATTCATGAGTAAATTCTGGTGTTTGACCAAAAGTCCATTCCCATGACTTGATTTTTAAAAAAGATAATAATTGTAAAATAAATTATATATGTGTATATTTTTAATACAAAATATAAAAATGTTTAGATGTCTGTAATTGTATAAGAAGTGCGGCAATAACAAACCTTAAGTTCATCAACATATTGATTAATCTTTGGAATTTCAGTAATAGTTCTATCATCAATATGCTAAAATATAAATAAATATTTAAAATATCAAATATTATTGTCAATAAGCCAATATATCAATCAATAATCACCTGAAGAAAATCGACATTATTATAATCAAAATTTTTATCACAATTATTATGATAATGATTCATGAAAACTTTTATCATTGAATCGCAAAATAATTGATGATTTATCGATGAAGAGTACTTGATAAGATTTGTGACAGGTGATGGAATAGATTCAACGCCTTTAGTTATTAATTTTTCCTAAACAAATAATTATAATTATAATATCATCAAGAGAATTTAGAAACGTATTGTTGAAAATCAAAAATTTAATAACAATGGCAATAAGTAATAATGATTTACTTTTTCAACTTTTAAATAGCGTCTTATTTTGTTAATGTCGGCATTGATTAGCATAGTTCCATGATGATATGATCTACCAGTAATCAACTTGAATGCAGACCCTGAAATGTAATTTATAAAAAAAGTCAAGGATTGTTATCGATTTAATCAATCAATTAATTTGTTGGTTGGTTTTTTAATTGAAGGATATTTTAAAATTATCTATTTTAATATCATATCTTTCGCTAACATAAGCTGGCACATTAAATGATGATTGTAAAACTAACGTTACCAATTCAGCAGCATTTTTTCTTGAAAAATCTTGTCTTGGAGTGATTAAAGAGTAATTTGTGTTTCCGAGATCCTTTAATTAATTGGTTGGTTTACCAATGAGAAATAATTTAACAAAGATAGATTAATCATGTATCTATATAGATATATATAAATATATGTAAATATAATTATACAAATATATAATTATAAAAATGCATAAATATATAGTTATAAAAATGCATAAATATATTACATGAAAAACAGTTCCTCCTCCACTTTTTCGACGTATAAGTGGAATTTTATGATTATTTAATAGTTGAACATTGCATTCTTTCCATGGATTCTAATAAATAAATGATTGAATTAAAAGATTAAAAATAAATTTTAGACTTTACTGTTAAATTACCTGATTTCTACCAATAACTACGCAAGGATCATTTCTCCACAAGTATAATATTGTTTTTTTTGGATCAGTATCTCGGAATAACCTTTTTGAATAAACAAAACAATTAAACAACCAACTTGCTTTTATTTTTAAAAAAATAAAAAATAACTCCTTTTCTAATTATAAAATATTAATTAATTAAACAAACCATATATTACCACTCTTCGAATGCAAGGTTTATCCAAGGATCAGTTAATTTTGATAAATAGCATTTAAGGGTTTTCATTATTTGAAATGTCCAAAAAAAAAAAAAAAAAAAGAAAAAATTTTTCGTCAAATCTTATGCAGATCCATCTATGATCATTAGGATTTTATGAATTAGACATCTCATCGAGAGAATTCAAATGGTAGTTGTTTTTATCCAAAACAGACAGATATTGACTGAGTTGTGGTAATTTCAGTTAATTTGATACGTTTTTTCTCATGATATGTATACTTTATTAACTCATATGGAATTTCCTTATCTATAGATCAATAGTAATTTCAGTTAATTTGAAATTTGATACATTTTTTCTCATGATACGGAAAATTGCGAATTTCCGTATTAGTAATACATTTGATACCATTGTCCTTAATTTGTAAAGAGTTAACAAATAAATAAATTGATAAATTGCATCACCCAAGTAATGATACCAGGACCATGCAGAAATGAAATTTAAGAAACCAATTTTGGAAAAGGCCACATAATTGGCAGAGTTAGAAAATAAACCCTTGGTGCGTCTCCGCTTGTTCCTTTTTGTGTCGTGCATGAATAT